GGGTTTTATGGGGTAAAAATTGGTTTTTCTCCATTTTGACCCTCAAAACACAAAATTTTCCAATTTTTCTCTAAACCTTCTTAAAGAGCTTAAAAAAACAAACAATTCAGTATATCAAAGTGTTTTTGTACGGTTATTGGTTACGGAGAAAACAAAAAAAAATTTAAATTTAAAATTCCCATGTTATTCTTATGGAGAATATTGTAAAATGTTGTAGTTTGCTTGTTTATGGATATCTTTTGATCAAACTTGGCAAATATATTCATTTTATACTAAGCAATAATTATTTTACTTAAAACACACTATTTATTAGTTTCCTTGTAGCAGCAAACCTAGGTACTCGTTAAACCTAATGTTATTTAAATAGACCAATTGAAAATTAATTCAGCCAAATGGAAATTCGCTTAGACGGCAGGTTTGCTGCGGCGGGGGTATTTTGGTTCATAGTTTCCTATTTGCACACCAAGCGCGCTGCTAGTGTTTCATTTCAATGAGTTTTGTAATATATTAACATTTTTTGTTATAGCAATTTAAATTGTTAGCAAAAATAATCAGTTGGTATTTGCATCTGGATGAAATATGTCGTTCATAATAATAAGGTTTTACGACACTTTTTGAGTTTTTTTTAATGTCCACGGTTTCACCTTGTTTTAAAAAGGTTGGCGTTAATTTGTTCAGTAATACCTACCTATGAAAACTTCTTACCAAAATATGTTTTTATATAACCTTACAAAATACAGGGTGTTTCCAAATTGTCTGGACCTGATTTGTGGACTTGTTCCTTGGGCTATGATAAACATAAAATGCCAAATAAGTATGGATCTAAAATCGCTAGATTTATGTATGTCGTTCTCTGTTTGTGATGTTTCAAAGCTATATTATATCTTTGGCATTTTTCAATATAGAAATTTCAAAATCAGTATAAATGTGTAGTGTGGAAGGCAAAAAGAGCTAAATAAACTGTCGTTTCAATATCTTAAGCAATTTCAAAAAGGCAGCATCTTAAAATCTTTAATGCCAAAGTTCATGAAAACCGTAAATAATTTTATTAAAAAAACTATTTTTTTATGACCACAAAGCTAGAGAATTTAAACCCAAATCAAATGAGAACTTTTTTTGTTAAAATTGGATGACAAACAACCGAGTTATCAGTTTTTTTTTTTTTACATTCGTTTAAGCAATGTTATAGGACCTACTTAAAAGCAGTATGGTAGTCCTATTAAATTGCGTAACCGAATGTAGAAAAAAACTGATAACTCGGTTATTTGTCATCTGATTTTAACAAACAAGGTCTCATTTAATTTGGATTTAATAAATTTATTTTAATATTTACGGTTTTTATTTAATTTGGCATTACAGATTTTAAATGGCCGCCATATAAAAATGGCTTGAGATATTGGAACGATATTTTAAAGCTCCTTTTTACCTTCCAAACTACCCATTTATACTATTTTATCTTGATATAATATAGTTTTTTTTTTAAATCACAAACAGACCGCCAAACAGATATCTATTTATTTTAGACCCATACTTATATTAAATTTAATGTTTGTCTTAGCCCAAGGAACAAGTCCACAAAATATGTCCAGACAATTTGGAAACAACCTGTATAGTATTTCTATTTCCTACTAAACTATAACAGTCAATCGCAGTAAAGATAAGCAACCTTTATAAATGGAACCGACTGATCGTAATCCTGAATACTTTGGGTAATATTAACGTGGTAATGAATTAAAATTAAACTCAATTATAGTAAAAGATGAAAAAAATCCTTAGTCCAAACCTGTTGTCATACGAACCAAATTTCTAATATTTAAATCTATTAAACTGTTCACATGTTATCAACTTACTTTTAAGCTTTCACATTCACCTATTTATTATTCTGCGACAGTGTTATTTTAAATTGAATCAAGGCGAGAGGAAATTGATATTCTGTTGTCCAAGAGGGAGAGGCTAATAAATAATGTATAAGCTTTGGTAAAGTGCAACTTCAGATCATTTTGCCAGGAAACTTTACCCCGCCGCGTCTTGCATTTTGAAGATTTTTCTGGAGGTTAAAAATGTTATTATTTACAGCATACTCAAAAGGTTTTGTGAAGTAATATATGTTTGCTATAATTGTTTACACAATTCATGGAGTGATAGTACATTAACCAATGATAATCAAAATGTATTTAACTATAACAAATAGTCTATAAGTCTTCTTCTTGATGATTTATGATACAAAATGCATAAGTAAACATTATTATATTGTCCACTGAACTTTTCCCTGTCCAAAATGAAATCCTAGTTGTTTACGAACAAGTAATATCACAACAATCAATTGACCACAACATTGAATCAATTAAGAGTTTCAGGGACTAACGTAAACATGAACCCTTTTAACCTACCAATACCTGAACACCCTTAAGAGTCCTTGGAGGATAGCGGCCATCTTGGATTAATTTCAAACAGCTGCAGAAGAGTTATTTATCATATATATTTTTTCAGATACCAAAGCGATTGTAATTGGAATATCTAGGGCACTGTGGGACCAGAAATGTTCCTTGTGGTTTTGTAATTGTTTTCCAAGTGAGCCCTTAGGCCTCTCGCCCACTATACGATTTCGGTCGTACGACACTGTGTCGTACGATATTCTTATCGTATGTGTGGTCCTCGCCCACTTTACGACACTTTGTCGGATAAATTACCAGTTGCTCGGTAGCCCTGGAAGAGTGAGGTGTGGGTGTGTTGCAAAATATATCAAAACAGTGGTTCTGTATCAAATAGTAAAACAATGATTCCGTTACGTGTTGTTGCAATGTGGCTGCTGTGGCGTAGATTAAGCGCTAGTGGCCAATTTAGGCCTACATCATTAAAGAAACATTTATTTTTATGTGTAAATTATTTTTTAAGTTAATGTATTTAAAGACATTTTCAAATTATATTAGTCCATGCCTTTTACAAGTTTTTAAATTTACCATAACTATCATAGGGTTTTGGGATAGTCTGGTAAAAAGTATGTACCTATGATACAATTTTTTTGATTAGTTTTTAAATATTAATGATTTAATTTTATTAATATAATGTACAAAAAATTATATTTATAGGTTTTAGTGAAACTTTTTTACAAAATATAATTAATAATTAAGATTATAAAATAATAAATAATAGCCAAACTCGCATTTTTTCAATAATTATTTTGGTATATTTACTCATAAGTGATGCAGTATTTAAACATAATATAAAGAAAAATATGAACAAATTGTAAAAAATAAATAGGAAGTAAAATATTACGCAAAATAATGGTTGAAAAATAAAACCAAGTGATATACCAAACATTATAATAAAAAAGTATGAATGAATTGTAAGAAATATTTATTAACGATAAGAAATACGCAAAGTGATATAACAACTATAATAATGACGAAGTATGAGTTAATTGTAAAAAGTATATATAAGACTACTGGGGAGAACGCACGACATACGATAAAAATCGTATAGTGGGCGAGTGCCCATTTGATCATACACGCCACTGCGAGTAAAACGGTCGTACGACAGTCGTGTATCACAGTGGCAGTGGACGACTGCTCCACGACAGTTTGTCGTAGTCGTGAGATTATCGTACAGTGGGCGAGCTCTCATAAGATCCAATGGTTCACTGTGGAAATGTTGTCGTTCCGACACAGTGTCGTACGACCGAAATCGTATAGTGGGCGAGGGGCCTTAGAGGCTAGCGACCATCTTGGATTTGCCTGCCATAAGAGGAATGTTCCTTTTAAAAATGTGCTGAAGAGTTATTTATCATCCAAAAATATTTTTTCGAATACCTATGTCAATGTAATTTAAATATCCAGGGCACTATGTGATCGGAAATTGTCATTGTAGTTTTGAAGTAGATTTATGAGTGATCACAACTAGGCACTAAGTACTCTTAAATTAAATTTCACCAGCCCCTAGGTCGTCTTTCCACCTAGGGCAGCTGTTTTTAAATACCCAGTCTTGATAAATGTTATGTATTGAATCAAACCAATCTTGCTTCCATCGGTGGTGAAATCTCGCAACTGGTTTCATCGACCAATTCGTCAAGCCTTCTTCACCTTCAGAGTTCTTTGTCACTTGTTGAACGTGAGACGAACCGGTTGTACGTGCTTATTATAACACGTTATTATACGTATTGAAGCCAATAACAATCAGACATTTTCTGCAAAAGTGTTATTATACCATTCAACATTGGAGCTGATTTATAATTCGAAATTCCAATTCTTTATGCATATTTGCCTGTATCGATTAATCTTGGGTGCTAACATATTTTACAAATCGGAGTAAAATTGTGCCCTTAAAAACTCAAAAATGATCATTTCATAACTTTTTAAGAGAGTAGCATAATTATATAATTTAGTAAATCAATTTTTGTCTCCAGTATTAGTGAGTTTTCCTATTGGATAATGTCGGTCCGTAGCTTTCATCTGTTCAAGAACAGATTTAAAATGGCAAACCAGCAAACCTAGTACTAATTTAGCGAAAATGAGAAATTTGATTCACAAATCGTAACAGTTTTAAAACTTTTTTCCGAGGCTAAACAAATAATACAATACCCTTTTTGCTTTTAATATATTATGATTGGTTAAGATGGTTTTAGCTGAAATCGGAAAATAGTTTGTTTAGAACGGCTGGAAAAGTCATATAACAGAGAAAAGCCTTAAATAAATTAAGTATGTAGATTATTGAGATACGGCATCTATATCCAAGGGAATATAGTAGTGAGAATGAGTGTTAGATTAGCAATTATTAAATAGCTTTAATCCTTCCCCAGACCGTAGATTACTTCAGCTCAAATCTTTTACTGAGAAACCCCCAATGGCGTTGGGAAACTGAGCCATTTATTGAAAAATCCACGTACAGTGCTATCAAACCTTAGGATCCAATCCATGACATTTGCTTACAAAATTAATTCAACGACTTAATAATATTTCAAAATTTTTCTTCTTTTTTCGAATACTCTACTTTTCATGTTCCAGAGATGCCTGCCGAGTTTCGAGAACGCTGCCTACGGCCGCCTGGTAGAGGCTACCAACACGTGTGGCGAAGGTCCCAAGGGTGCGATAGAGTTCTGTCGACAGACCAGCAGAGAGTCAATCACGAAGTCTTGCCAAGTCTGCACCAGGGGGATGTTCCCGGCCACTCATCTGACGGACTTTGTCAACAACACTGTTACTTGGTGGCAGAGTGAGACGATGCTGGAGGATGTTCAATACCCGACACAAGTCAACCTGACTCTACATCTAAGTGAGTACCACAAGTTTTTATTAAAAGAAGAAAGTAGTTTTTTGTTAAGAGAAGACTGATCGGGCGGGCACTAGGCCAATTGCGCCAACTAACCTGAGTCAGGTAGTCGGGTATTCCCGAATTCCAACTAGAGCCACCCGATACGTCCATTAACTGCGCCAAGTGGCGGCCCTCTTTGACTGTATAATTGAGTAGGTTAGGTTAGGTTGGGTTAGGACCAATCGTGTATTATGATGTAAGAGGAAGGTTTAATAGGTCCACACCACAATTTTAGCTTAATCTGTATACCAGCTGATTAGTTCTTCCCTTCAAACCGCTTGAATTTCGTGAGCAGAGTATAGTAATGCATCCCCGTAGGTTTTACCAATAAGATATTCGAATTTATTGCTATATCCCCTAAACTCCAACCATGACTTTGGATTTAGAAATTGTTTCTTATTTAGCAATCAGCAATAGCAAAGTAGATATTGTGCTCGTATAGTAATTAGATGGTTGCCGACACATGCCTGAACAAATTTAGTGAGAAAATGGGGAAACATCGTTTGCAATTGTCCGAGATCTTTGGGATGTAAAAATCGTCTTGGCTGAAAACTAGTTGATCTTATTAAATAATAAAGCTTTAATCTCATTTTATTTAACCTTCTAATTTAATCACCGTTTCACAAATTATTGTATTCGTCAAAGGAGTTTAGCATAAGGTTTTTTTTATTTAATTAGATCCGTACTGTGTCTATTTTAAGGTTGTGTGAGAAATCTGACGATTTACTCCGTTTTTTAGTTATAATTAATATGAATACTCTTAATTACACGGTTGAAAGTATAAGAGTTACTTTACACTCCACCACTTGATGTAACCATAATCACTCCATTACGAGGGAGATACGGTGAAGCTCGAGAGCTCTGATGTGTAAACCTCATTGAAGCCTCTTCAGTCAAGTGTAACACTAGACTACACTCAGTATAAAGGGGTTTATTGTAGGTAATCTGTCTTCTCAAATATATTGAGTAAATTCCCCCAAGTCTTTGACGCCTATTTAACGTCTTTTACGGAAAATAAGATGTGAAAATATTTTCTAAGTGAGGATTAATGGATATCCAGATTTTGTTCATAATTTAAAATCTCAGACCATTCTTGATACCTTGATGTTTGAAACTCTCTGAACTTAGTAGTTTTTTCGCTACTCTCAATAAATACATGAGGTTGTCCAATACTCGTGATTGTCCAAATACAAACGGAATCTAAGTCTGGGTTTGAGATTGATCTGGCAACCAATTTGATGGAGAGTGTTATAGTATTATAAGCATTGACTATTGGATACTGAAGTAGACAACCCATGTATATGGACCAGCTGTTGCCAATCTTTTACTAAAAATAACGTAGTTGTGTGATCCAGTGACAGAATGCGCAAGTGTCTAAAATTATATTTGATACCTTCTTTTTTGTTGCTGACCAGGTCATAACAGTTGCTGCTCACCGTGAGTCGTTCCCTAAGTTTGACTTGGTATAAAAGGTGGTGTATTCAACAGAATTTAGCTATTTAGATCAGCACAATCTGTCGGGGGCTCACATCAACTACGACGATTTTGATACGAAATCCGGCTACAAATTTAACATCGTGATGGAATGTCTAATAAGTGTAGATACACCACTCCTATAAAATATAATTTATTATATTATTGGAACGACACAAAACATAGTCAAAAATCCAATTTAACCTTTAGGTAATAGACGAAGAGCTAGAGTTTACATCACAAGTTATAATAGGTGACGTATTTTAAAAATTCTTCTAGAGGCTACAAGCTCATTCTCTGAGCCATTACGGGCCACCTCGCCTTATAATTTGTAGCAGACTAAAATAGCGTCCTAGAGCGATAGTTATTGGATTTACAGGCTGAGACGCCACTTAGTGTCCCTGCCCCACTATATATCAGCGCCAATATGGCCGACACATAAATTCATCTTTTCATTCAATTTCGCTGTTTACTCTCAAGTCGATTATGTGTAAAAATTATAGAGGAAAAAGCAAACACTTGATATAAGAATATACTTCCTCTTCGTTGGTGATTGGTCAGACAGTGTAGTAAATTAAACGTGCTCTCGGTAAAAAAGTTAATCTAAAACACTATACCAATGACTTAAGAAGATCAACCAGTCAGAGTCATTATTTTTTTTATTTTTACCCAGTTTTTCACGTTTAACCAAAACAAAACTTGTCATAAAACTAGTTCAAGCCTTTCTTTACCTCAATAGTTAATTGTTACGTGTTCAACGTTAAACAAAGCGTTCGTACGTAGTTAGTAGGTGAACTGTTTCCTGGTCTCGTTGAATACTATAATAATATATTACTGTGTAAACCTTATTCACGAAGGCTATTTAAAATGCCAATGAGGATATCTGGGAAGCATTAAGCTGCCTTCAAATCCAAAGTTCATTTCTCTGAAGTTTCTGATATAAGAATGTTATGTTAATTAACTGAAGGTTTCTTGTTTATCTTCCTAGCTACAAAGGTTTGAGTTTCGATCCGTTAGGAGAGGTTTATTGAAAGACTGATATTTTTAGGGGAAGTTTCACATCAAGCATATCTCTTGAGTATGCAGTTGATAGGTGTGCAGCTTACGGAGTTTTTCAAAAGTTTGTGATCCTTATTAGCTTTATATGTAGATAGGCGTACGCGAGTGTAAAGCTGCACAATTTTACCTGCAAACTTGATTTTGGTAATACGAAAAAGCGAAAGAAACTTATTGAAATTCACAAAAGTACACGCATCGTCAATTCTCACATTCGTCATCTATGCACGCCACAGCTGACGATATCAGAGTGAGTGACATACAAACAGCCACATACCCGATGATCCCATTGGTTTATTCATAAGACTTGACTCCTCCTTCTTGGTTGGTAATTTATATTGGTTGGCACATAAAGATATTTAGTCATGTAAGTTTACAGTAGCGGGGGACCGAGGCTTGTTCGGTTGTAGTCAATTGGGTTTAATAGTTAAAATAAAACAATATTATAAACAACATTTTATGATTTACGAAAAATATTTGTCGCACAAACCATAGATAGACATTTGATTGCTGAAATAATAACAACTTGTAATGTAAAAGCATACAATTGGAAAAAATATGATACATCTTGCATAAGTTTAAGTGCATATAACTTTTCACCCTTCCAGTCATTGAAACCCGTTGTTTGAGTTTTACTTACCAAAAAGACAGCAGATAAAAATATGATATAAACAAATTCATATTAGTTTCAAAATGTAATTATAAATATATAGTTTGTGGTTGTGCTTTATATTACCAAAAGTATTACTGTTATGAGCCCACATAAGGTGGCTTGGGGAGTCATAACCTAACCTTCATATTTATATACAAATATGTTTTCCTATGAAAACTTTTCAAACACAAAGTTTGTTTCACTATGTATTTATCCAATCTAAATTTTAAAGATTTTATTCATTTAATAATTTACTCAAAAATGTACTTTTATTCCATTTGTACAACTGATTTTTGTCGTTAATTAATTAGTTTTAATTACTGGACCTTTTTATGATACGACAATTCGATTTTTTGGTCTGTAACATTCTAGCCATGAATTACATAGGGAAATAATTCTGCATTATTCCTTTACCATGGGAATATTTTTTGTCTGCACTTGCAAGGCACAGCTTTGATGGGCAAGCAAAGGGAGATAATTTAAAAATCTATAAATACATTCCTGCTTGTATTTGTTATGATTTAAAAATTTTCTCATTTATATCTTCTTTTAATTTTCTAATGGATGCCAGTACAGTGTACCTTAAGATATAATTTTCTTACTAACGCCTAACATCATGCACGATATTAAACATAACATATTCTAAAGAAAAATCTATAAATGCTCTCTATATGGTAGACGCACTGACAAGGGGGTAACAATCCATTGTCTGTGGTAGACGCTTTAAAACGGAAGAAAACACACCTTACAACCTTAGTAAATTTGCTAAATGCAATTTTATAAAATCCTGTGTGTAATCTAAAAGTGTCTATTTTAATTTTTCCCCATACTCAGTAGACCCTAGACCTGCAGCCACCCTTTAGAGCCGCCCAGGGCCACTTTCTCAAGATCGCCGCCCAAATCAAAGCTGCCCAATTATCTTGGGCTTGGACCCGCCGCAATGAAGCCTATTTAGATTATTATCTTTAGAATGAGGACTAATTAATTTTACCGCAGCAATAGAATGTTTTAATAGACTCATTTTGATTGATAGTTATGGACACTCGTGTGAATCCGTGGTCAATTTGGAAAGTCTATTGTAATCGGGCAACGATTTACCTAGAGAATGACAAAAAAAGTTGTAAAAAACTTATTGGAGCATATACGACCAACTTTAAACTCTTTAAATGTTGAATGATTTTATTTGTTTGTTCAATGCAAATCACGATCTAATAGGCTCATAAGAATCTCATGGGGTCCATTTAAATACCAACAGGTAGCGAAAGTTGTGAAAAAAGTTTCTGTAAGTATTACTGGAGTCAATGTTACTTAAACATTGTTAAAACCCTCTCTAAATTTTCAATTTCCTGTGTAAATATTCGTATCTTCCTATGAATTAATTTCTTCCTTACCAGTTTTAAGAATACAAATATAGTCATATTTATAGTTTTTGAAATTTCATAAAATATGACTAGATATGTTTTACGATGGGGTATCGATTTACGATGTTATCAGTTTTCCCTACTTAATATTTACTAGTTTATTTAAAGTTAACGGTCTGTTATAATTGTTATGCGCACACGCATCTTATGCAAATGCATAGCTAAGTGTAAATGTAGAATTATCAAGTGATGTTAAACATGCCCATCCAGCAATATTTGAATCAAACCACAAACCGTTTTAAGTTATTTCTAGGGTATGCTGCTTAAAATTAGAAAATGACAGCATTAACATGTATAACATTTGTTCCCTCAGCATACTTGAAGTTAAACAATTAAATATCCAAATCCGAATTGAAATC